CAGACAGACAGACAGACAGACAGACAGACAGACAGACAGACAGACAGACAGACAGGGAGGGAGGGAGGGAGGGAGGGAAGGAGAGAGGGGGGAGATGGAGGGAGGGTAGGAGAAGGATGGAGAGAAATCAATGTATTTGTTTTCTCTGACGAGCATTTTTCGATTAAAACATAGAACAATCTCGAACACTCAGCTCATGACGAACCAAACGATCCAGAAAGCGTCTTATAACTCGAAAGGTCACTGGGTTCACGGAAATTGTGTACCCCCACCTAGCAAGAGACAAAGAAGACATATCATTATGGATGGGTCGATTGCGGGATTCGGTTAACTTTTACGTGATATAATTTTCAAAAGTTGTAAGATTGCAGTGGTGCATGGGGTTTTACGGAAGGCATCAATTTCAATACTTAAAATGATACAGCATACTCAGTGCAAAACTGGGTACCCTGGTTATTGAGGACAAAGATTAGGATTGACGAACGTGTTTTGAGTGTAGATTCTCTCAATATAAGTGCATGTATCTCTTATTGAGCTGCTGTGAGCCGATATCGCAAGCTGGATGGTTTTGTTTTCCAAAAATGAATAATAATAACTGTCATTCCTTCTCGAAACGTTACTTATCCATCACTTTTTTTTTTTAACACGGGACTTTGGGGGAAATGGTAAAACCTTAAAATTACGCCCAAACCTGCAATACTGTAATGGTTTTCAGTGAGAGTTTTACGACACTTGCAATGCAAAAAGGTCATGCAAGTGCCGTATATTAGAGGCGTTACTAGAGAGTAACGTACAAAATAAAAAAAGGAGGAGAGTTAAAAATAAAAAAGAAGGAGGAGAGTTAATCATAATAGATGTTGGATATGAACGGAGCAAACCACACCAGAGCACCCGCCAGCCACTCACAGTCACGGTTTGTGCTGAGTATTGGTAGATAGAGTGTCTACGTAAAAACTGTCGTCCACACTATCCAATAAAACACTGAAATGTTAATGAGGATTTTGTGTAGGCTTATTTGTTGTTATTGTTGTTTTTATTGTTGTTGTTGTTTTTGTTTTTGTTGTTGTTGTTGTTGTTTTATTGTTGTTGTTGTTGTTTTTACTGTTGTTGTTGTTGTTTTTGTTGTTGTTGTTG